TTTCTCTCTGTAGTTACTTGTAATCGTGGTTTAAGGCAAACAGGTGATTGGCCTGTTGTGCCTTTGCATGGTGGAGGGGCTGACTCCTTGCGGCCTCCATGCAGGCTGTCTGGCTGATTCACGGTTACTCACTACTTCCGGAGACGCATGAAGCACTCAGGTTAAGCCAGACCCTCCTCCTTTTACAGCCGGGCTTGGGACCGGTCTTAGCGGAGTTATAATGAACTAGTAACTTGAATTAATAACTAAATGTCCCTGGGTATCAATACTATACCTTAAAATAAAGTGGATGTAACTCTTCCAACCACCAAGCCTATAACTAAATAATTCTATATATATATATACAGTTGATGTTTGAGAAGAAGAGTTAACTAATATTTGTTTAGCTTATGGGAGAGTAAATCACTTAAGCACACTTGAGAAATTAGATATGACAGCAAGAAAAATGATATATTATTTGATAAAGATTATTAATCAACTAATAGAATGTTGTAGCACTAGAGTAGATGCAGTGGATTATCAAAGTGTTGATGTAGTGGACTATCAAAGTATTTACCAAATAAATAACTAATTAATATGTAAATGTGTAACAATGATTAAATGTTATAATAATCCTGTGTAGTACAGTAGTTGGTTATAAAGTTTTAGACTGATTATATCTTGTGAAATAACACCACAAAAAAAAAAATTTTCTTTAATGGCCGCACAGTCTGGGTATAATTAAATACTCTTCTAATGAAATAAATAAAAAAAAAATATTTGATTAAATTAGTCTTGATAATCGACTGTGATAGAGTAATCACTAATACTCTCAAATAATTGAATTATTTCACGTAATAAATACTAAATACACTTGTTCAGTATGATGCTTATTAAATTCGCTTTCAATGAAGCAAAACTCAGTTACAATATATATGCAGCAACTTGTAACGAAATAATTCTTATCCACCAATAAATTTAGTCTATATTAGAAATCAACAATAATACTATTCAATACAGATTAAATAAAGATTTAGTGTTGAATCAATGAGTGTAAATAAATTTAGTCAATATTAGCAATCAACAACAATATTATTGACTACAAGGTGAATAAGGATATGGTGTTCAATCAATGAATGTATCACCAACTAATATTACAATGGTCTTTCCCCAATCAACTGTTAAATCACCAATGATTAACTTATTATTCTTGGTATACAATACAATTTCTATTACCCACAATTTTTTAAAAATGAAAAAAATATATATAGAAGTTCAATACAATTTGCCAATATTTATAAATAAAAAGAAATAATGTAAAGAATAGTAGAATAATGCAAAATAATATCAAAAACCAATGTAATAATAATAATAAATAACTAAATGACAATGACTGCACTAATGTAAAATATAAATAAATAGTATTGATAATAATAATCTGTAAATGAATCTGAACAAAGAAGACACAAACAATAGACTGCACAATTTATTGCCTGGCATATTTCGCTGTATCTCGTCAGGTGCATACTACAGTAACAAGTGAATAAATGAAGCAAATAGCTGAATCCTAAAAACTGAAACACAAATTCGAGTACATTCTACACTGTCTGTTTCACCAAGGTAACCTTAAGGAAACTACCATTTCTTTCTGCCTACAGAGATCCGGTTTTAACCGGTGGATCGCGGACGCTTCCGCGTATCTAAGTAATCTACGGTTGGCCGATGTGTAAATAATTCGAAATGCATCATCCCTGTTAATGATGTGCCCGGAATTTAGAATGTGGCACGCAATTGCTGATGATGGATTTTGTCGACCAGTCACCTGATTCGTTGTTGTTGAGGTGTTAGTGTTTTGCTGTATCTTGTGCTGATCTAGTTTGTCTTGAGACTGCTTCTGCGATGACTTGCTTTCTTGACCGTTGTTCAGATGACGCTTGTTAGTTGACTTGTTTACTACTTTTTTAGAATATGCAAGACATTATGTTAATTTAGTAGAAATGATTATGACTACACAACCTGTACACCAATTGACCTCAGATGTATACTGATTGTTACAATATTCACTGTACCCCTACTCTTTGCACAAACCGGACTTCAATCACTGTATGTCACCTTTTACTTTCCACTGTGTAGTAGCACTACAACTCTAGCACACTATGCGCAGTTCATATCTAACTACACAATTAAATAGGTCACTGCTACCTAGACACTTGAAAAATTCACTGCTAAGTAGACAATTGAATTTGTGCCGATTATTCACATGGTTTTTCAGTTGACTGCGTTTGGGCTGTAGGAAAGCTTTATTGTTATCGCTTTCTTGTGATATGGGCGATTATTATACGATGAGCTTGAAGCATTATTAATAACCAGACATCAATGAGTGCTGATCTTGAGGTATTGTAGGCTTCTCGTACTGTAGTTTTCCTATTAAATGGTTTGCCACGGTTGAAAAATGTAGAGCTGCGACACAAACACCCAGTTTCAGAGCTGTGGTTCTTTTAATTTCCGTTTACATTCAACACTCTACCCGGTGTTTTACTGTCTTTCTACGTTTTGAAAAAACAGATCCGAAAAACAGGATCTGGTGTCGACGCTTCTCTGTGTTGTTCAGTGTAGATTTCCCACTACACTTTACCACACTTTAGTCGGCAGCAAATTTTTATCAAACAAGGCTTCGGAAGTTTTGCAGAGGGGCAGCCCTAGTCTCACATCATCTCTGTGTAGACTTACTGTTGCATTCCTTTGCTACCATTGATGATTGCTCCTTGACACTGTCACTGTCTGCAATCTTTCCTTTGCATCTTTGTTGATTGTTGATTACTTGGTCGAAACTTAAAACGTGGACTTGTCTATCAGTATTCAGAGCCTGGAATTTGTTCGAACGTTGTTCAATCTGTGAACCATCGAATATGAGTTGTTGTTATGTCGCCATCGATCTTCCCCGCTTACGTTCTTATGTTGAACTGGTACTACCCGACGTCAGGTTGATAACTCAACTCATTTCCAATGTCTCAGATTTTACTGTACGAAACAACTTTCCTATCCTCAAATGTTTGGACGAGTGCCCATTCTGCGATGATCTTCTTTATTATTAATTACTGGCTCGAATGAGTCACCGCATCATTCCATTCACCGACTGACAAGAACGAGAAAACATGGACGCTGGCAGACGTTCAGAAGTTACACGTACCGTTTATTTTCACTCGCTGATGTTGCAGTCAGTAAATGTTCATACACAACAGTATCACTCATCGATTACTTATTCAATGATCTAAACATTCAGTCATACCTTTGTAACATCGTAGAATTCATCCCACAACTTAGCGAAACACAGTAATTCCATCCAACCAGACGACAGTCATTCACAGCTGGCCACCGTTTCCGTCAGCCGCTATTCCATGCCAGGTAGGCATTGGGAAATCACGCTATGCAGATGCCAACATTCTTCCGGACTTCATCTTATCACGTACACATTCCCTTGGCCTAAACGAGACTGTCTCTCAATCCTTTCTCCGCTATTATGTAGCCCTCTGATCTCTGTCATGTTCGTCTCGAATATTCTGTATAACTTCATTCTCACGAATTCCCCACCGTTGAAAGTCGTGCCTGGCCCGTGATAATTCGCATTTCACACGAAGCCTGCCAGTCAACCTTCATGGTTCACGTGAACAATCATGTTTCACATAAAACCTGACTTTCAGATGTCTCTCATGAAACTCAAGACACAAATCTCGTGTTATCTCAGTCAGTCAAAACATCCCCCTTACATTTATTACCGACGTCATCTGTCGGGCATAAATTAATGGGGAGAAAATGAACTCACTACAGCAGCGATGGACATGGAGCAGAGAATGCTATTCCCACTTTACCAGCACTTAATCATCTCAGTAATTAATTATGGATTGGGGTTACTCACTGTCTCGAAGAGTTAGCTAGAGAAACTGAAGAGCATACAGAATGAAGCTATACGGCTGATCCTGGGTTGTACAAGAGACACCCCGATTGTGTGCATGCGATACATCCTTGCATTGCCGACTATTGCAAATAGGCTAAAAGTGCTGCAGGATAAGTCATACCTCAGAGCAGCTACAGACAGGGAACACCCTCTGTATGAAGCTTTGGCTGCAAGCAAGGGTCAGAGGCTCAAAAGGGGAAAATCGTGGATGGCTCAAGCAGAAGACACAATAAGACAAGTATGCATGCTGGAGAACATTGGGCGAGGAGAGGAGTGGGTCAGAGTACCAGAGAACCAGTCTGACCTGTGTAGGGTTATGACAACATTGGGCCGGGTGTGCAGAGAGTGCCCAGCGGGTAGCGCGGAGGATGACGTCCAACAGATGATTCACGACAATTCACGCCCAGGTGATCTGATTATCTATAGGGACGGTTCAGTGGTGAGAGGAAAGGGAAGTGTCTGGGGGTTGGTAGCGAAAGCCAATAGAAAATCTTTAGTGCAAGACATCCCAGCATACGACAATACAACTTCTAGTATGATAATGGGGGTGGAGGCGGTAACTGCAACTCTCTGGTGGCTAGAGAACAAGATGCATACACATGTCGTAACTGTAACAGACTCTGAAAGTATGCTGAGAAAGCTGAAGACAGGGATGTTTCGAACAGAGTGGCTAGCTTCACCTGAAAGATCACTGGTAGTGAGCATACTTTGGATCTTTTCTCCTGGGCGTGCCGGCGTGGTTGGCAATGAACAGGCAGACAGATTGGCTGGATCTGCACCACTGGGTGGTGAACTGATGTTGTCAAGGCCCTTTGGGAACAAGTAACGAAAGCTGGCTGCTAAAGATGAGGACGGAGCATGCATGGGAATGCCGCGAGTGCTGTGAGGTCATTCTTGACTCGACTTAAGCCGACCCAGTTTCAAATACGCCGAATTTGTAGAATCTGGCGTCAAATACGCCAGAATGGCAACCTTTGGTGTTGGTGGGCGAGTATGTTTTGTATGTGAGTGGGTGTGCGTACAAAGTACTTCAGGGGAGCCTACTAACATATATTTTCTTTCCAATATGGCTTCTTCCATTTGTTTACTTCTGATCGGGAATCTTGTGCTAAATTTCATTGTGCCGTGTCTAACGACAGTTTCTTTCGTTGATCTGAGAGATATTTTAAACTCATCAACATCGCATTGCAGCGTAGTGTTTCCTGAAACAGCCCTGACTGACCGGGTTCAGCAGTTTCTCCGCACATTAGCTGACGTGTCCTTTGCTAACGAATCAACTGTCTCATTTGGGAAACTTCGCGAGGTACCACAAAACTGGCCAGATGGGCGTCCACTTCACATTCAAGGAATTGTCGCACCAGAAGAACTCATCAATACCGTTTTAATTTTCAAACGATCGAGACAAGACAGATCATGTCTGCTAGTGCCTGATGACAACTTTATATCGCCGCCAGTAGTTGCCTTTCGTCTGCCTAGCCAGGAAGTCCAGGAAGAGTTTGACCAAACTTTGCATCGTCTTACAGAATTTATTAACGGAAATTGTGGGACATTTCGTAACGCAGATGGGTTTGTAAACCTGAAAGGGATTCACAGAAAAGACATTCTTGATAATTTATTCTCGACTTCAAAATCATCTTCAGCCGACAAGTCTTTGAAAAAATGTATGGATGCCAGTAAGATCATCAATATGTGCATGCTTAATGATAACACGATTTCTGAGTCATCCACTCCTATAACAATACAGACACATAATAAATACTTGGACAGTGGTAATAATATGGAAGAATGTGAAAGAATTGAAGTCCCAAAAACATCCAATTTTTTTCATGAGTATTTATCTCGCTCCAAGCCGGTCATAATCACAGGAGCTGCACGGCACTGGCCAGCATTTCAGAAGTGGACCAACGCTTTCCTGAAGCAGAATTATGGAGATAGAAAAGTTCATATTAAAATTACCCCTGATGGACAGTACGAGGGAGTCGAACCAATATCGCTGTGGAAGAATCATCAGAACTTTAGCATTCCAGAGTCAGTTTATAGGAAATTACCGTATCCTGACCTTGTTGTTGTTCGACCAGCAAGTATGGAAATTAGGTTTTCAGAATTTATAGACTTTATAGAGAATATCTCGTTGGGACTTGTCAAGAATATGTCAGCTTATCTGGAATATTCCTCAATCACTAATTACTTCCCAGAGCTGATAGAAGACATAGAAGAAATGCCATTCTTTCGGAATGTTTTGGAACTGAAGCATCTCAACATCTGGTTGAGTGATGGGAACACACTGGGCAAGCTGCACTTTGATCCTTTTGACAACTTTCTTTGTCAGGTAATTCAGGGGTCAAAGAATAATAGGTCAAAATGTTGGGGTCATAAAGTGGGATGGCAGTATAATCATCATCATGTGTTCACTCTAAATATTTTGTAAACCAGCCCAGATGCCGCACAAATTATCATTCCCATACCCTTTATAACTTTACATATGTGTATGAATAGATATTTCGAAAGTTATTATATCGTTCTCTGGTTCTTATCACGATATTGTCCGCATGGCAAGAGTTATTTCCTATCCCATTCATGCTGCTGCTGCTCACACGGCCTGTCCTTTTTTGTAGAAGTGTCACGTATTCCTTATTTTCAACTGTCCAGCCATTCTCTATTTTCTCATCTCGTCACCAGTCACTTGCTAGATCATTGGCACATTGTGCTACTTGTGCAAAGATTCGTGAGTAGTGAAACTGGATGTTTTTGTATTTCTACTTTCCTTTCGAGTCTTTTATTTTTCTAGGTGGAAGCCACGGCCGAGGAACAAATAAAATAAAAAAACATCACAGTTTCAATACTCACGAACTATCCTGCCTACGACGTTTCCCCCTGCAGTACTTCTTACTTATACACAGGTGCTTGTGGTGCCTCAAAGAGACTCATGACAACTCAACATCCCACAAACATTGTATACAGTGAGCAAATGCCAAACGAAGCCATATCATAACACTTCCCCCCCCCCCCATACCCTCCCCTCCCCACCCCCACAATATAGGACAGGCTATGTGACCGGGTGCGGCATGAATGAGACAGGAAGTAATTCTTGCAGTGTGGACATTATCATAATAAGTTCATGTTCTCCTTCTGCATCTCGGAATGCCTTTATCTCAGTTTCTGTGTCACTGTGCATCCATATCTACCTCCAGTTGTATCTGGTCTCAGTATTTCTGTGTATCTTTAGTTTCATTGCTTTTATAGCTCAGTAGATCTTTTCCTTAGTAGATATAATACCTCACTATTATCTGTGTGTCGGCGTCTGTGGATTAGGCGTTGCGAACATGCTTCGTAGTGCCGGGTTCGATCCCAGCTGTGGACGGTTTGTCTTGCGTTGATTTTGACAGTGGTACTGAGAGCTGACCGTTCAAAAGCAATGGCAAACTACTAAAGGTACAGTTTGCCTAGAAAAACCACAATAGCAAAAAAAATGCTGGCGTTGGTTCTGCAACGTCTGTAAAGGATACTCAACTAACTGTTTTTGTTTTTTTTAAATTTGCATATTATTTCGCATGTCTTTACCTCATTACCCCTATGCTGCAGTCTCTGAATGTTACCTTTACCTCAGTAGTTGTAATACCTCAGTATACCTTTATCTCAGAAATGATTGTAGTAAAAAAAAAAAAAATTCACAGAGAAGATAGCTCTGAGTTGAAGGGGACAGAACAATCTGAGTCAGGGAGCTAACTAATGCTGTTATCTAGTATGTATTTAATCCTTACCACTTCACACCCATCAACAGTCTATACAATGGGGTTACCGTGACCTTGCAGATCAGTGGAGAGAAACAAGTGTTGTTGTTTGATCCCCATGACAACTCACGTCTGTATGAAGGTCATATACAGGAAGCCATGTTGACCTACAATGCTTCTGAAAATGTGTTCTCCCGAGAGAAACTTCTAGAGAGCACATCTATGGTCATGTCTCCGGTTGACTTGCTACATCCAGACTTACAGGTACATTTCATCTTTATCGTACATTTTATGTTTATATTTTATCTTTGTTACAACCATTTTGCATGTGGCACTAAAATATCATCTTTTCTATGTTCACCCTAAAAAATGTCAAACCACATTATATTGGGGTTCACACAAGTCATCATCATTATCATCACGTGCCCTGCTGACTGGTGTAGGCATTCATGTATCTCCACAAATCTCGGTCCCTTGTCCGCTTATGATGCCCCTCTGTGCCACTATCGCAGTCCATCAGTCATCATCTCTCTCAGTCTGCCTCTCCCTCTTCTTCATTGATCTTCCCAGTTGTGTCCAAAGAACAGTGCTTGTCTTTTCCTTATAGCTGAGCATATTGGTATTTGTTAACTAGTCAGTTCTCTGTAACTTCCAAGTCGTGATCATCATCACTCCCCTGTTGTACCATTATATGCCACATTATTGTTGTTGTTGTTGTTATCGATCCAGCGGCGCATGAACTTTTCCCCTTTGGCCCAGTGCCATGTAGTGGAATTTGCATGCTTTCACAAGCTGTTCTTTTCCTCCATACAAGGTGTTCCACTTGTCTGGTCTAGGAGGGAGTAGCATTCTTCTAGTCTCACTGAGTTTTGGGCACTCAAAGAGATGGTGTTCAACAGTTTCGTAGGGATAGTTACATAGCTGGCATTCTGGGGAGTGTTTTGGCTGTATTCTGTTTAGGTGTCCACTGAGTGGAGTATGTTGTGGCCTGGTCCCTTCTTGTTAGATAGTTAATGCTGTCATTAGGATCAGGGCTAGCCATATGTCTATAAACCTCTCTTCCAGTGTCTCCCTTGGCCCATCTGTTCAATTAAGTTTCTTTGTTTATAGCTTTTATAAGAGTTGTTGCTGTCTGTAGGGTTGTTGCTGTAGGTGGCTGTTCTTGTGTTGCTCCTTTCTTTGCCAGTCTATCAGCTCTGTCATTACCTAGTGTGCCAGAGTGGCCTAAAATCCACTGCATCACTATTCTGATGTTGTATTAGGTAATAAGCTGGTCAGCATCCATGATTATCTTGGCTATGTCAGTTCTGTAGCATTCACTGCCCTCCAGAGCTTGGAGGGCAGACATTGAATCTGTGAAGATGGCAATATTTTGGGCCTTTGAAGGGTAAATATCCATTACAGTCTTTAGGTGGTATGCTGCTGTTTCCAGTGCAATTATTTTGGCTTCATAATTTGAGCAGAATTCCCCATTTGCATCAAAAATCTCTTCAACAGATCTATCGGGATAATGTATGTAGATTCAGTAACCTGCCTTAATGGTAGCTTAAAATGCAGATTCATTATATGCCACATAGGCCTCGCAGTCTGTTCTTCAATTCCATTCTGTCCTGTGCCATTTCTTCAATATCATGTGTAGAATCCTGTCCAGCATCTTTGGCCTCTCTCATCAGTGTTCTTTTAGGATTTCTTTTGGGCGTCCTCACTTCGTCAATTCCTTCATTTCCAGTTTTAATGCTTGCTTGTTTCTTCTCCGATGTGTCCAATATAGAGGCATCTTGTTTGTCTTATAACTATCATTACCAGTTCCAGGTCAACAGAGCAGTGATAATTTCTGTTTCTCAGTTCCACTTCTCTTCTTATTTTGTGATACGTGGTTAGGGCCCCATGTCATAGTTTTCTGTATGTCTGTACGTCTCGGCTGGCTTGAGTTATGGGTTTGTTCTGACTTCACACTAACTGTTCATACTCTGTCAAGTCCACAGGATGGAATTTTCAAGTCCAGAGGATGGACATCTCCTGTCTTACAAAGACTTACATGAAATCGCTGTCCTGGTCATATCGGACAGCAAGGTTTTTAGTCAGTAATGAGGTGCTGTCTTCACAGTGAAGGTTGGCTGTAGTGGATCTCCAGCACACTCTGTCTCTTGTCTTAGTTGTACAATCTCTAACTGCTGCTCAACCATCTCTCAATGTTATCCCCCCACTTATATCATTGTCTACCTCTTCTTCTTTCTTTCTTTGTGTTCACCAACTGTAAACTCCAACAAAAAGTTCTGGTTGTTCATCAGTGTCTGGTTTTTTATCTTGTTGCAGAACATGGGTGTTGCGTGTACATCGATTTTACAGATCTGACTTATTTCTTTGCACACACTTGATTCCTCTCTCCAACCCCCCCCCCCCCCCCCCCCCCCCCCCCCCCCCCCCCCACATCCATCCCAGGCATGTGCACTCTAACTTTTAAGAAAGCACCAAATTAGTTGACTTCTACCGGATGCTTATTGGGAGAGGCAACACCTATTCTTGTTATCCCTGCAGTGGGACCGTGGAACTGTCATTTCTATCTGAAGTCATTGTCTACCTCCTGATTTCTTGCCTTCAACTATCCCTTCCAGTCTGGTTGTTTTAAAAAAGATTGTTATCTCTTTTAATGTGGCTGAAATACTTTTTCTATTTTCTAATTCTTTCAGCAGCTCTGTCTTCATTCCCAGTTTCGTGAGAATGTCTGTATTTTATTGTTTTTGTCTCCATGAGAAGGTGGAGACAGGTATGTTCTGTGGAAAGTGACTGTCTCCATGAGAAGGTGGAGGCAGGTATGTTCTGTGGAGAATGGCTGTCTCCATGAGAAGGTGGAGGCAGGTATGTTCTGTGGAGAATGGCTGTCTCCATGAGAAGGTGGAGGCAGGTATTCTGTGGAGTTGTCTCCATGAGAAGGTGGAGGCAGGTAGTTCTGTGGAGAATGGCTGTCTCCATGAGAAGGTGGAGGCAGGCTGTGGAGAGTGACTGTCTCCATGAGAAGGTATATCTGTGGAGAATGGCTGTCTCCATGAGAAGGTGGAGGCATATATATTCTGTGGAGAATGGCTGTCTCCATTAGAAGGTGGAGGCAGGTATGTTCTGTGGAGAATGGCTGTCTCCATGAGAAGGTGGAGGCAGGTATGTTCTGTGGAGAGTGACTGTCTCCATGAGAAGGTGGAGGCAGGTATGTTCTGTGGAGAATGGCTGTCTCCATGAGAAGGTGGAGGCAGTATGTGTGGAGAATTACTGTCTCTATGAGAAGGTAGGCAGGTATTTCTGTGGAGAATGGCTGTCTCCATGAGAAGGTGGAGGCAGGTATGTTCTGTGGAGAATGACTGTCTCCTATGAGAAGGTGGAGGCAGGTATGTTCTGTGGAGAGTGACTGTCTCCATGAGAAGGTGGAGGCAGGTATGTTCTGTGGAGAATGGCTGTCTCCATGAGAAGGTGGAGGCAGGTATGTTCTGTGGAGAATGACTGTCTCCATGAGAAGGTGGAGGCAGGTATGTTCTGTGGAGAATGGCTGTCTCCATGAGAAGGTGGAGGCAGGTATGTTCTGTGGAGAATGACTGTCACTATGAGAAGGTGGAGGCAGGTATGTTCTGTGGAGAGTGACTGTCTCCATGAGAAGGTGGAGGCAGGTATGTTCTGTGGAGAATGGCTGTCTCCATGAGAAGGTGGAGACAGGTATGTTCTGTGGAGAATGACTGTCTCCATGAGAAGGTGAAGACAGGTAGAATGACTGTCTGAGAAGGTGGAGAATGTTCTGTGGAGAATGACTGTCTCCATGAGAAGGTGGAGGCAGGTATGTTCTGTGGAGAATGACTGTCTCCATGGAAGAGGTATATGTCTCCATGAGAAGGTGGAGGCAGGTATGTTCTGTGGAGAATGGCTGTCTCCATGAGAAGGTGGGCAGGCAGGTATGTTCTGTGGAGAATGACTGTCTCTATGAGAAGGTGGAGGCAGGTATGTTCTGTGGAGAATGACTGTCTCCATGAGAAGTGAGGCAGGTATGTTCTGTGGAGAATGACTGTCTCCATGAGAAGGTGGAGGCAGGTATGTTCTGTGGAGAATGGCTGTCTCCATGAGAAGGTGGAGACAGGTATGTTCTGTGGAGAATGACTGTCTCCATGAGAAGGTGGAGGCAGGTATGTTGGAGAATGACTGTCTGTGGAGAATGGTGGAGAATGACTGTCTCCATGAGAAGGTGGAGACAGGTATGTTCTGTGGAGAATGACTGTCTCCATGAGAAGGTGGAGGCAGGTATGTTCTGTGGAGAATGACTGTCTCCATGAGAAGGTGGAGGCAGGTATGTTCTGTGGAGAATGGCTGTCTCCATGAGAAGGTGGAGGCAGGTATGTTCTGGTATGTGTCTCCATGAGAAGGTGGAGAGGTGTGTTCTGTGGAGAATGACTGTGGCTGTCTCCATGAGAAGGTGGAGACAGGTTATGTTCTGTGGAGAATGACTGTCTCCATGAGAAGGTGGAGGCAGGTATGTTCTGTGGAGAATGGCTGTCTCCATGAGAAGGTGGAGACAGGTAGTTTTTTTTTTTTTTATGTTCTGTGGAGAATGACTGTCTCCATGAGAAGGTGGAGGCAGGTATGTTCTGTGGAGAATGACTGTCTCCATGAGAAGGTGGAGGCATGTATGTTCTGTGGAGAGTGGCTGTCTCCATGAGAAGGTGGAGGCAGGTATGTTCTGTGGAGAATGGCTGTCTCCATGAGAAGGTGGAGACAGGTTCTGTGGATGAAGGTGGAGGCAGGTGTATGTTCTGTGGAGAATGACTGTCTCCATGAGAAGGTGGAGACAGGTATGTTCTGTGGAGAATGACTGTCTCTATGAGAAGGTGGAGGCAGGTATGTTCTGTGGAGAATGACTGTCTCCATGAGAAGGTGGAGGCAGGTATGTTCTGTGGAGAGTGGCTGTCTCCATGAGAAGGTGGAGGCAGGTATGTTCTGTGGAGAATGACTGTCTCCATGAGAAGGTGGAGACAGGTATGTTCTGTGGAGAATGACTGTCTCCATGAGAAGGTGGAGGCAGGTATGTTCTGTGGAGAGTGACTGTCTCCATGAGAAGGTGGAGGCAGGTGTGTTCTGTGGAGAGTGACTGTCTCCATGAGAAGGTGGAGACAGGTATGTTCTGTGGAAAGTGACTGTCTCCATGAGAAGGTGGAGGCAGGTGACTGTCTCCATGAGAAGGTGGAGGCAGGTGTGTTCTGTGGAAGGTGGGGGCAGGTGACTGTCTCCATGAGAAGGTGGAGGCAGGTGTGTTCTGTGGAGAATGACTGTCTCCATGAGAAGGTGGAGGCAGGTGTGTTCTGTGGAGAATGACTGTCTCCATGAGAAGGTGGAGGCAGGTTTGTTCTGTGGAGAATGGCTGTCTCCATGAGAAGGTGTGGAGGCATGTATGTTCTGTCTCCATGAGAATGGGAGGCTGTGTTCCATGAGAAGGTGGAGGCATGTATGTTCTGTGGAGAATGACTGTCTCCATGAGAAGGTGGAGGCAGGTGTGTTCTGTGGAGAATGGCTGTCTCCATGAGAAGGTGGAGGCATGTATGTTCTGTGGAGAATGACTGTCTCCATGAGAAGGTGGAGGCATGTATGTTCTGTGGAGAATGGCTGTCTCCATGAGAAGGTGGAGGCAGGTATGTTCTGTGGAGAGTGACTGTTTCCATGAGAAGGTGGAGGCATGTATGTTCTGTGGAGAGTGACTGTCACTATGAGAAGGTGGAGACAGGTATGTTCTGTGGAGAGTGACTGTCTCCATGAGAAGGTGGAGACAGGTATGTTCTGTGGAAAGTGACTGTCTCCATGAGAAGGTGGAGGCAGGTGTGTTCTGTGGAGAATGACAGTCTCCATGAGAAGGTGGAGGCAGGTGTGTTCTGTGGAGAATGACTGTCTCCATGAGAAGGTGGAGGCAGGTTTGTTCTGTGGAGAATGACTGTCTCCATGAGAAGGTGGAGGCAGGTTTGTTCTGTGGAGAATGGCTGTCTCCATGAGAAGGTGGAGGCATGTATGTTCTGTGGAGAATGGCTGTCTCCATGAGAAGGTGGAGGCATGTATGTTCTGTGGAGAATGACTGTCTCCATGAGAAGGTGGAGGCAGGTGTGTTCTGTGGAGAATGGCTGTCTCCATGAGAAGGTGGAGGCATGTATGTTCTGTGGAGAATGACTGTCTCCATGAGAAGGTGGAGGCATGTATGTTCTGTGGAGAATGGCTGTCTCCATGAGAAGGTGGAGGCAGGTATGTTCTGTGGAGAGTGACTGTCTCCATGAGAAGGTGGAGGCATGTATGTTCTGTGGAGAATGACTGTCTCCATGAGAAGGTGGAGGCATGTATGTTCTGTGGAGAATGGCTGTCTCCATGAGAAGGTGGAGGCAGGTATGTTCTGTGGAGAGTGACTGTCTCCATGAGAAGGTGGAGGCATGTATGTTCTGTGGAGAGTGACTGTCACTATGAGAAGGTGGGGGCAGGTGTGTTCTGTGGAGAATGGCTGTCTCCATGAGAAGGTGGAGGCAGGTATGTTCTGTGGAGAATGGCTGTCTCCATGAGAAGGTGGAGGCAGGTATATTCTGTGGAGAATGACTGTCTCCATGAGAAGGTGGAGGCATGTATATTCTGTGGAGAATGACTGTCACTATGAGAAGGTGGAGGCAGGTATGTTCTGTGGAGAATGGCTGTCTCCATGAGAAGGTGGAGGCAGGTATGTTCTGTGGAGAATGGCTGTCTCCATGAGAAGATGGAGGCAGGTATATTCTGTGGAGAATGACTGTCTCCATGAGAAGGTGGAGACAGGTATATTCTGTGGAGAATGGCTGTCTCCATGAGAAGGTGGAGGCATATATATTCTGTGGAGAATGACTGTCACTATGAGAAGGTGGAGGCAGGTATATTCTGTGGAGAATGACTGTCACTATGAGAAGGTGGAGGCAGGTATGTTCTGTGGAGAATGACTGTCACTATGAGAAGGTGGAGGCAGGTATGTTCTGTGGAGAATGACTGTCACTATGAGAAGGTGGAGGCATGTATGTTCTGTGGAGAGTGACTGTCTCCATGAGAAGGTGGAGGCAGGTATGTTCTGTATAGAGTGACTGTCTCCATGAGAAGGTGGAGGCAGGTATGTTCTGTGGAGAATGACTGTCACTATGAGAAGGTGGAGGCAGGTGTGTTCTGTCAGACTGCTACTGATACCATCGGAAAGGGACTTTGTGCTTGCTGCTGAAGATGTGGTGAGCCCTAATAGGAATGATGGGAGTGATGTAATGTCGGTTCGTAATTCAACATTTTTTGTTTCTATGAAAAAAAAACGACCTACTCTTCTGTTTATCCGCATCTCCAGAGACTCTGTTTGATTTTCCCAGTGCCTGTTGCTCAGGTGGCCAGGTTTTAGGATATTTTATTGTCAGTAGACAGCGGGGAATTATTCACCTTCAAACAACGGTTACAGTAAAGTAACATGTGTTCTTTTCTTTTTTTCAGTAATATACTGTTTTTGCTTCTTAACAGAGATTTCCCAAGTTTTCCCAGGTTCGACCTCTGAATTGTACAATACAAGCAGGAGATGTTTTGTTTATGCCATCTTTTTGGTGGCATGAGGTGCAGTCCAGACCTAGCAGTCTTGAGCACAGAAACTTGGCTGTCAATTTCTGGTAAATTCTGTTATTTGTATTGTCTAGTCTGAAAAAAGATCTGCAGTGTTTAGTGGTAAACTGTAAGAAAACAGAAATTATGGTCATCAACAAAAAGAAAGAAATCCATACAAATGGACACAATTCTTAAACAGGTAAATAGATACCACTAGCTTGGAGTAGTCTTAACATCTGATTCAAGATATCTTGCAGAGATTAGAACAAGAACTACCAAAGCTAAAGTGGTGTTTAGCAAGATTCAAAAGACACTCACCCACAGGTATTGTGTTCAATAGAAAGCCCTTAGTTTAATGTTCATTAGAAAGCATATAGTATTATGTGTTCAAGAAAGCTGATATTGTTTTATGTTAAACAGAGGGCCACTTTGGTTTCATGAGAGGCCGAAGGTGCTGGACCGGATTCCATCCGTGATATCAGAAAGATGGAATAGAGGAGAAGGCAGTGAGCCATACATGATGTGTAATAGTAACACAGGATGATGTTGATATTGTTTTGTGTTTTCATTAAAAAGCCTATATTGTTTTAAGGCCAGTAAAGAACTTATATTGTTTTAAGGCCAATCAAGAGTCTATATTGTTATAAAGCCATTGGAGAGCCTTTTGTTTAATGGCCAGAAGAAAGCCTATATTAAAAGTTACTTCATATCTGGGCACATTTCAGGTTGATTGCACTAGCCATACATCCGTAAGTCCTCAGGCTTAAGACCCCACTGTCCAACACCTTGCTAAGAAGTGGTCTATATACAGACCAAAATAATAGTTTTTTTGTAGTTGTTTTTGTTTTGATTTTACAGGTAGAAAGCCTTTTTGGTTATTGAATGTGTCAACATATAGTTAAATTCATATGTTTGCTGAGAATTCTTTGTTTTGTAAATTGATTAATTTGTCTGCAGGTATGAGCCATTTCTAGCCCGTGAGTTTCCTTGTCAAGAGTGTGGCTTGGATGTCAACTCCCGATACTTTCACCTTCTTTAGCACATGTGAAGCTGAGCTTTTAAATCAGTTTATTTTAGTATGTACCAACCGTTTACGACTACCAACAATTTATGCTCCTTTGAGTATTTTAAATCTGCCATTTTGTTTGTTAATTGGCTAATAATTTATATAGCATCACTATGCCTAAAAGTATATTTATTTAGGTGCTCAGCCGATTGATGTATTAGACATTTGATGTTTTTCAGCATGTCCTTAAAATATCACGTCGCATACCCTAAGCACCACATTACTTTGTTCACTTGCATTCTTCTCTGGTGGTTTTAAACCCACCTTTTGGGATAGCTACGCTGGACAACAACAGACTGAAGAATTCAAATGTGTTGACCCAAAGGCAAACATGTGGCTGCTCAATTGTAAACATACACAACGCAGTTTTGTCCTTGCACAAATGACAAACAAGAAGCCCGACTTGGCACGAGATTTATACACGATAACATGATCCCTTGGTCAACCTAGCTTCATAAAATCATCCTAAAGTAAATTTCCTGTGATAGCATAATGTGGTCCACAGGTATTTTGGAAGATCAGACAACCAGTATGACACTGATTACATCAGCCATCAGTGCAGGTTGGTCATGATAGTATTGGCCTAGAACCATATTTCCAATTTGTCATGATAGTATTCATTGCATTCTTTTAAGTCTTTCTAAGCTTGTAGCAGAGAACAGTGTTTGGCCAAACTGTTAGATGTTGGCCTCTCATGCGAGAAATTCTGGTTTGAATTTCTTTAGTAAAGTGATGGAGGTTTTCCTCTCAGGGGCCAAAATAAACATCTTAACCTACACAGTTCATGGCAACAACACTAGCCACACGGCCCTAAATCCTCAGGCTCAAGACCTCCTTTGCAAGACCAAGTCACAGTTTTTCGCTTATGCACTGGACACTTCAGACTCAATAAACACTCATATAAATTAGGTATGAGCCAAACAGCTCTCTGCCAGTGTCTTCATGCTGAACAGACTCCAGAACATGTCCTGCAAGACTGTCCTCTCTTGGCGGAGCTGCAGAGCAACATATGGCAACACCCAGTAGACCTGACAACTAAGCTTTGGGAAAACCTAAGAGACCTTGAGAAGACTTCCCAGGTTATGGCCCACAGTGGATTATGCGCATGACCAGAGATGGCTGAAGAAGAGGAAGACCTCCTCTGTTCTACACTTCTCTATAATGTGGTACACACAGACAATAACCAGCAACCCCAGAGAATAGAGAGTGATGCATGCCAACCCTTTGTTCCAGTGGGCATGTGTTCGTATCCCTATCTTTATAGATTTTTTGTTGTTGAATTTTTAAGGACCAGAATATTTTCTTAGAAGTAAAGACAACCAGTATAATATTACAATTCTGCTGATTTTTGCTACTCATATTTCATGTGACCAACAAATTTACTGACACTTCCTGAACTGTTTACTTACTTCAATCAAAAGGTGTTGGATGAGTATATTTAAAGCTCAGACTACTGTGTCAAATGACATGCCACCTGCTGCTTGACAGTACTGCCAACTTTGAGATACAGCTTATTTTTTGACTCTACCACCTGCTGTACGACATTGTGTCTGCTGCTATTTGACTATACCACCTACTGTATGACACTATGTCTGCTGCTATTTGACTATACCACCTGCTGTAAGACATATCTGCTGCTGTTTGACTATACCACCCGCTGTATGACATTATGTCTGCTGCTATTTGACTATACCACCTGCTGTATGACATTATGTCTGCTGATGTTTGACTATACCACCTTCTGTATGACATTATGTCTGCTGCTGTTTGACTATACCACCTGCTGTATGACATTATGTCTGCTGCTGTTTGACTATACCACCTGCTGTATGACATTATGTCTGCTGCTGTTTGACTATACCACCTGCACCTGCTGTTTGACTATACCACCTTCTGTATGACATTATGTCTGCTGCTGTTTGACTATACCACCTGCTGTAAGACTTATGTCTGCTGCTGTTTGACTATACCACCTGCTGTATGACATTATGTCTGCTGCTGTTTGACTATACCACCTTCTGTATGACATTATGTCTGCTGCTGTTTGACTATACCACCTGCTGTATGACATTATTTCTGCTGCTGTTTGACTATACCACCTGCTGTATGACTTATGTCTGCTGCTGTTTGACTATACCACCTGCTGTTTGACTATACCACCTTCTGTATGACATTATGTCTGCTGCTGTTTGACTATACCACCTGCTGTATGACATTATGTCTGCTGCTGTTTGACTATACCACCTGCTGTATGACATTATGTCTGCTGCTGTTTGACTATACCACCTGCTGTATGACTTATGTCTGCTGCTGTTTGACTATACCACCTGCTGTTTGACTATACCACCTGCTGTTTGACTATACCACCTTCTGTATGACATTATGTCTGCTGCTGTTTGACTATACCAACTGCTGTATGACATTATGTCTGCTGCTGTTTGACTATACCACCTTCTGTATGACATTATGTCTGCTGCTGTTTGACTATACCACCTGCTGTATGACTTATGTCTGCTGCTGTTTAACTATACCACCTGCTGTTTGACTATACCACCTGCTGTTTGACTATACCACCTTCTGTATGACATTATGTATGCTGCTGTTTGACTATACCAACTGCTGTATGACACTATGTCTGCTGCTGTTTGACTATACCACCTGCTGTATGACATTATGTCTGCTGCTGTTTGACTATACCACCTGCTGTATGATATTATGTCTGCTGCTGTTTGACTATACCACCTTCTGTATGACATTATGTCTGCTGCTGTTTGACTATACCACCTGCTGTATGACATTATGTCTGCTGCTGTTTGACTATACCACCTGCTGTATGACATTATGTCTGCTGCTGTTTGACTATACCACCTGCTGTATGACATTATGTCTGCTTCTGTTTGACTATACCACCTTCTGTATGACATTATGTCTGCTGCTATTTGACTATACCACCTGCTGTATGACACTATGTCTGCTGCTATTTGACTATACTACCTGCTGTATGACATTATGTCTGCTGCTGTTTGACTATACCACCTGCTGTTTGACTATACTACCTGCTGTATGACATTATGTCTGCTGCTATTTGACTATACCACCTTCTTTATGACATTATGTCTGCAGCTGTTTGACTATACCACCTGCTGTTTGACAATACTGATGTTTTGCACACTGGCATTTCTTTGACATTCTATCTGATAATGACAATGCCAATTGCTGTAGCACATGCTCTCTGCTGTTTGACCATACCAACTGCTGGTCTAGCGTACTGTCTGTTGTATGTCAAATTATTTAATACAGAATGCCATCTGCTATTTGTGATCATATATATATATTTTTGTAATTGTCATCAGTAATTATGGATTCAGTTATGTATATCATACTTCCATGTCCTTATTTATCCAGATATGCTTAAATTAATGAAGTATGCAGTTATGTTTGTGATTTTTTGCATCCTTATTTATCTGGACATTCTTTGCTTTCAGATTTATCTGGATATTTTTTGCTTCCTTGTTTATCCAGAGATTTTTTTCTTTCTTATTTATCCAGAGATTCTTAGCATCCTTATATCTAGAAATGGACAATAGTAATTATTTATGTTTTTGTTGTATTATAATTCCTGATCTTATCAGAGATAACATAAATGTTGTGTGACTTGTTCTATCCACACCGTTGTTTTTAATGTCACCAAAGTATTACAGTTGCCAAGAATCAGAGATATGAGCCAGATTTCACAGACCTTGTAAAGTGTCCATGTTTGTCTTCTTCTGAACCACAGTTTTATTGAAATATTTCTGTCTTATCTGTTTGATGACTTGTGCTGTTGTATATTTGTGAATGCTGCACCCTGAGTCTCGATGACATTGTGAAGAAAATGGAGGTAGAGGAGATGTGTTATTTGAGAACAATGTTGAGAATGTGGACAAGGAAGTAGAGCGTTAGAGAGACACAGAGAGAGCTGCAGAAGTTTATAAGGTCTTGTTCTTAGAGTCCATGCTGTGTGGCGTTAGTAGTCATGTCTATCCACAACCTTCTATCTTGCGTACTTTTAAGCAGCTCTGACACAGATGATCTTGCATGCCATGATGTTAGACTGCCCACCACCTGTTCTCTCAATCTCCCTCTCTCTCCTTCCCTCCAACTTTCTTACTGTCACGATGTACTCCAGTTTTTACTAATTTACTATCTGTCTATGATTCACGACCATATATCAGTACAGGATTTATATAGCTTTTAAGAATTCTCTTTCCTGTCTCAACTAACAAAAAAAAAAAAGATTGCATAAAATATTAATTGTTTAAATGCTGCCCTTGCTTGAGCTATTCATCATTTAACTTCTTTAATACATCTTCCATCTGATGTTATCAGGGAACCCAAGTACTTAAACATATCAACTTGCTTGAGGTTTGTCCCATTTTCTTTTATGTTGTATTTTGGAAGATCAGTTTTCTTTGTAATTACCATAACTTCTGTTTTTCTCTTTATAAGGTCAATGGTATTTTTTTTAAATCATAAGAAAAGAACATGTGAAAAGAAAGGAGCAAATCAATAGAAAAGATGGATTGAATCAATGTTTCCGAAACTTTTCTTAGTCGCAGCATGTTTTTTCAATTAACATTTTTCCATGGCACTCTAGCCTAAGTAAAAATATGACTATTCATATGTAAGAGATCAAAGCAAAAAAAACTTGTGTATCTTCTGATATTCTGCGGCACCCCTGTAAAGTGGTCGCGGCGCCACGGGGCACAGTTTGGGAATCACTGGATTCAATCAGTCATGTGCCATCTCCAAAGTGAAGATTGGCTGTAGTGGCTCTCCAGCGTGCCCTGTCTCTTGTCTTGGTTGTACTCTTTCTCTCAGACTGCTGTTTGTCCATCTGTTGATGTTATCTCTGGTATCATTATCTACCTCTTGCTCTCTTGTCCCCAACCTTTCTTTCCAATATCGTTTTTTTTTTAAAATCAGAAATCTTT